AGGCACAGGGTGTCCTGGGATCATCTGGCCTTGCCAGGCGTCAACTCTGATCTCCCTGACTTTCTGAGGCTGTGTAGGTTCAAGACCAGGAGGTCCTGTGACAAATCTGATTCAACTGCTCTAGAACTCCTCTGGCCATGTGAACTGGGAAGGCCTGACACTCTTCATCAGGCAGCATTTCCTAGAATGTGATACAACCACTAATACCCCAGGCCCATTTAGCAACCTGGTGAAGGAGAACCCCAGCAGTCTTGTAAGTGTAATAAGAGCACATGCCACCACACTGTATGCAAAAGCATGCCAAGATATAGTTGCAGGGTAGCAAAGCACAGCTCTGGGGTCAGACAGTCTGAGCTGAGTGCCCCCTCTGCATTTACCTGCTTTGCAACCTTAGGCAAGTTACTTATCTCCCCAAGTCTTAGTTTCCTTATCTGTAGCAACAGTACCTACCTGACAGCGTTCTGAGAATTCAAAGAGATAGTATATGTAAAATGATTAGCACAGTGCAAAACCAAAGGGCCATGGGAATAGAATGTATTCACATAACTAAAATGTGCCTGAGTTAAAACAGGAGAAATAAAAACTCTTAGATTTTGAACACATAGTCTCCTGTGGACCAGAGGTTGAACAGTTAGTGTCTTGGTGAAGCTACTAAAAGTATGTAAGCTCTGTGCGGGCGGAGATCCTGCCTTTCTTATTCATCACTTATCTCCTGGCCCTCCACAGTGCCTAGTCCATAGTAGGGCTCTGTAGATGTTTTAGGGATGGATGGATGGATGGACAGATGGATCCTTGGATGGATGGACAGACGAATGGGCCAAAACAAAAGTGTTTGTTGTCTTTCGATTACAAAGAGGGCTTCCTCTGGAGAATTGATCTCCTGTGCCCCTCTTAGTGAATGGCACCTGCTATCTACCATGCTATCCAAGAAAAAAACTTAGGTGTCACTTTGACTACTGTTTTTCACTCACTCCTTACAACCTACCAGCACTGTGAATTCCACCTCCTAAATTGTAGCTTGTGAATCCATTCTCTTCTCCCAAACTCTACTGTCACTACCTTTGTCCAGGTCCTTCCCAATTCTCTCCTGGATTTCTATACCACCTTCAGGCCTCCAGACTGTACCCACCCCTTTGAAACCACTCTCCACACTTGGGACAGACTGATCTTCAAAAAGCACAAATCTGGGCCGGCCAAGTGGCACATTGGTTAGTTGGCTTGGGACACCATCTCTGAGCAGGAGGGCCCGGGTTCAGATCCCACATGAGAGCCAGTGACGCTGCGCCCTCTACAGCTAAGATGGTGAACAAACCAGCTCAATCTGGAGCTGGGTTGCCTGAATCGCCAGCGATGGCGCAGGCTGCAATGGGGCTGGCCAGCAGCTGGTGTGAGCTGTCGTGAGCTGCTGTGAGCCACCGTGAGTCACCATGAGCAGCCATCCAGTGGCCGGCGATCGACTGCCTCACCCAGGAAGAGCGTAATAATAATACCAACATGGGCCAGTGAAGCGACATCCTCCACAACTAGACTGAAGAACAAAAGGACAGCAACTTGTCTGTTCCCCTCCCCAATTCCCCAATAAAATCTTTAAAAAAAACAAAAAACACAAATCTGATTAGGTCGCTACTGCCACCACATCCATCACCACCCCCACTTAAGGATGATTCATGACACACTATAGACTTTAAGATAAAGCTAAAACACCTAATCATGGCATCACCAGCCTTTATGATCTCGTCCCTATCTCTCTCCAGCCTTATGTGGCCAATGCCCCCACCCGCTCCTTGAGTTCCAGGTCCCCTCCATTAGGTTTATGCTCTCTTGCCCTGTGGCTTCTTCCTGTACATGGAATGCTCTTTTCCACCTTCTCTGTTCCCTTCCACATCCTTCTGAACTCAACCCTGGCACTGCCCACCAAGGATCCTTTCTCTGACTGCCCCTGGCCCCACTACAAATTGGATGTCTCTCCTCCTAGGGACTCCCAGTGCTTAGCGCTCAGCTCATTACACTATGGTCTTTTTCCCTGTCTGTCTTTCTCAGGTCCCTGGCTCATGGAGTGTTATTTTGTTCTTCATTGTACCTAGTACACCTCCATCTAGTCCTGGCACAATGAATGTTTCTTGAATTGATAAATACTTTGCTCACAACAAACATGCACTTTCTCAGAAGCATATTCACAATGGCTTTGGTCAATCACGTGACCAGTCAAGATATTTAACTAAGGATTAGGGTGTGGTCTATGACTGCACCCTATTACTAGACTAGACATGTGAGGAACATATATTTTTAACCAAAAGTCAAGACACATGATCTGACAAATATGATCACATACTTTTCTGTCCCAGAAAAATTTGAATATATAATGTCTATGGCTACACAACTTGATTTGTCATTTTTGCCTTACTATGTTATCCAAATGGGCCAACTCAAATAATAGCTAATAAGTAAGTAACTAACATTCTTGGTAAGCTTACTATGCAGCAAGCATTATGTGAAGTGCTTTGCAATCATCTCATCTAATCTCATCTACTCTTTGAGGAAGGTCTTTTTATTATCCCCATTTTACAGATGAGGAAACTGAGGCTTAAAATTTTGCCAGAGGTTACACAGGCAGAAACGGACATCTAACCAGCAATGAATGAGTAATCTGTTTGATCTTCTCAGTCATTCTGTGATACTGACCTAACCATGACCTCTTAACCTTATTAGATCATCAAAAGAGCTATTGCTGGGCAAAAATAGCTTGTGGCTTCCGGAAAATTTTATTAAAACTCTAAATCTCCTGGCAATAACTTTCAAAACTCATGATTCAGACCAGCAGTGATATTTGAAAATGGAATCGCAATGCAGGTCTCCTGGCTACAGAGATGTTCTTGCTGCAGGAGAGGAATGCTCAACCTTGACATTTATGACAATCTGTTTGTTTCCTGTTACTGGGTCTTTTGCTGTCATCATCTGTTGAAAGGCGCTGACTCTCATTCTAGCCTCCCTGAGAAATCCTCTCTTTCTGGTTTACTTGGTCTGTCCTCTTCCTTAGTTATCATTTCATTAGGATCTGAGCAGTGTTTCTCTAAGTTCTGACAACTGACCACCTGCATAATGATCACCTGGGCACTCATAAAAATGCATATTCCTGGGCTCCATCCCACAACTATCACAGAGAATCTCTACAGATTGGAGCCCAGGAAACAGCATTTTAGTCACATTCCCCAGGTAATTCTTTTGAATACTAATGTTTTAGAACCACAAATGTAGCCTCCAGATGCTCACAAGTCCAAGTGTGGTCTCTGGACCAGCTACTGCAGCTTGTCAGGAAACAAGGAACTCTTAGGCTCCAATCCTGAACTACTGAATCACAACCTGCATTTTAATGGAATTACCAGGTGATTCATATTCACATCACTGTGCACTCAGAGACGCAGTAATCTAGAACGGTGTTTTCCAGCATTTTTTCACATCACAGCTTGCGTAGAAAACAAAAGCATTTGATTGGCATACAGATGAAAATGCCTGGTGTGGAACCGGGGCTCAGCCTGCCCCAAACCCCAACCTGGTCACCCTGAAGGCTGAGGACATTGATATCTCAGGCATACTTGTGCCGCAACACACTGGTTGGAAAGCGCTGATCTACTTAAAGTACACAAAGTCCATCTAACTTTCTTCATGAGGCATAACTCCCTAAATCATGCTTATTCTTATCTCCTTCATGATTTATTTCTTTTCATGCATGCAAAGAGTCAGAAAGGCAACTTCCCAATCATCTAGGTCTTAGAAATCTTCACGCAATGAAAGAACACAGTCTCATCCGCAAGTTCTGGGGTGGTCTTTTTGAGAAATGCACAGAAAAATTGTGTCCACTATTCTGAAGAGTCATCTGCTACAGCCTAAGGAATACTAGGAAGAACTAAGAGCCTTCTTCTCTGTGAAGAATGATCCTTTCCTCTTAGTTCACAGATCAGAGGATTAGCAACATGCAAGGTAGCTTCCTTTCTACTGAAGAAAGTGCCAAAAAGAATATTGTTTTCTTTAATACTTCCTTAGCAAAATCTGCCAGTTTATAATCTAGACAAGTGTCCCTTCTCTTAGGCAGCCCGCTGATAGTGGGATGACAGTTGGGATAGAAGGAATGGAATACCTTCAGAAACACTTCCTGGAGAGACCATCTGACCACAACGACCAAATGTCAGGACACACCATCTGACTTTGCAAAGCCCTCAGCTGTATGAGAACCCCATTTTTTCCCAATAAGGAAAGTGTTGAAAATGTGAAAGCTCAAAATAGTGAGCTCTTAATTTGAAGCAACTATAACAAGGTCTACCCCTAAATGAAAGATGGTGATGATCTCAGCAAATACAATTAAGGAAGAGGTGGGGGAACTATAGCTACCATACAGCTCACTTTTTTTTCTCTTCTCTTTCCACTTTGCCTGCAAATCTGTGTCTAATCTCTCCACTCTGCTTCTCCCAATCAGAGCATAGACAAAGTAGCACATGTTTTGGCTGGTTTATTGTGGAGCTATCACTACTCTGTCCCAAGACTGTATGTCCCTCAAGTCTCACAAAACCTGTTTGATCTTCCCTTTATACCCCAACTATATCCAAGAGAGGGCTCTGCCTGAAGTCCCTCTGCATTAGCAGTAGAAAGGACAGTGACCAGAGCATACTGTCACTTGCCACCTCTGGTTGATTTTCATGGAGCTTTTTCTTGATCCAGATACAGAGGCAAGGAGGCCTTTCTCCTGCTCTGACCAGGAAGTTCAGGGACCAGTTGGCAGTTCACCCAGAGTAGCCATGATGTCTAAGAAATGAATGCGTTTTTCTCTAAGTTCATAGCAAGAACAGTTGGTAAAATATTTCCATCCCTGATCATCTGATTAACAAGTGCTAAAACAGCATTTGGGGAATGCTGAGGGCTTGGACCTCCCGGCCCCGATAATACCTCTGTTTTACATGACCATTTCAAATACAGATATTAAGCCATCTCTTTCCTTCATGGTCCAGGATGAAGAACAAGCTGTGGTACTTTGAATTTGGCACCTCGGAGACCTTTGCAGCCACCTGCAAGAAACTCCACGACCACATAGAGTTGGAGGTAAGTACCCAAGTGGGGAGAAGGCTTCCTGGATGTTGGTTCTGCTCCTGGACTGTCACACACCCTCAGGACATGTGCCCTTAGATCAGTGGGTCTCAACCTTCCTAATGCTGTGACCCCTTAATACAGTTCTTCATGTTGTGGTGACCCCCAACCATAAAATTATTTTCATTGCTACTCTATAACTGTAAGTTTGCTACTGGTATGAATCGTAATGTAAATATCTGATATGCAGGATGTATTTTCATTGTTACAAATTGAACATAACTAAAGCATAGTGATTAATCACAAAAACAACATGTAATTATATATTGTGAAATATTTATTTCTAATGACAAATAAATTAAATTTTGTCTTGAAGCCGGGTACTCGTATGTGGGCGTATCTGCGTGTGGGCGGACCTGCCTGGAGACGGGTAGAGGAGCGGTGTCTCGGTTCCTAAGACCATCGAAAATATGTGTTTTCCGATGGTCTTAGGCGACCCCTGTGAAAGGGTCGTTCGACCCCCAAAGGTGTTGCAACCCACAGGTTGAGAACCGCTGCCTTAGATCCTAAGAGGTGATCCAGAGTGTAGTCCCTGTGTTGTACTTCCATCCAGTTTCCAAACACCTCGGCAGCCTCACTCAGTGGAGGCTCCAGCTGCTGCACCAGCCTTTCTTGACCTGTCCAGGGAGTCCTTAGGTGCTCTGGGGCCTAGAGGCCACAGTCCATTCCTTCTCTCACCCCTCTCCCCACTGTGGCCTCGCAATTCCCCTTTTGCAGAGAGGCAAAGATTTAATTGCCACCAGCACAGAGACGAGTTGCTGCTGGGGTAGAGCCAACATCCCAAGCCTCGCAAACGTCTGGGAACTGGTGGCCACAAAACAGCAGGGGTAAAAGGTATGGGAGTTAAGGTCAGAGGTGACCAGACATCCCCCAGCTCACCCACCTCGGCTCTCTTCGCTGCTTCAAGGAGCCGACTCATAGATACCCAGTCTGCTTTGTGGGTGTGCAACCTGCACAGTCGCTCAGAAAGGCCCTTGGTTGAATGCTCTTCTGTCACCGTCTTGAAATTCTTGATAATTTTTTAACAAAGGGCCCTGTATTTTCATCTTGAACTGGGCCCTTCAAATTATGTAGCTGATCCTGTTGGTGCACTTGTGTTTTACTGACTCTTCCGGCACTTGTAGCAGCCTGCCTCAGACAGTTTGCCTGCCGGCTTTCCTTCCCTAATTGATAAGCTGCCCACTTCCCACCCCCTCACCCCACTTCTGCTAGGTTGCTCTGGTGAAAGCTTCTCACTGATATGAGAAGGTCCCCTTGGTCTCTGGCCACCTGAAAGCCCAAACTTCTATGCACTCCAGCTCCATCTCTGCTTTGCAGGAACTCAGGCCCATTGATTCCCTTGCCCGTGGTCCTATAGGCCTTGCTTTCACTTGAGAAAAATAAGTGAAAGAGGCAGTCAGAGTTCAGCCAGGATGGGCTCCTCCTGGCTCATAGCCTTTGTCCCTAAACCTGCATTAGCAGTCTAGTGGGGCCTGGGCATCCCTACGAGAAGCATTTGGCCTGAGGCAGTGTGGGAAAGCCCCACCACTCCCTGCCGGAAGGGAGCCTGTGCTCACAAGGAGTTTTTACAAACAAAATACAAAGCCAGAAATTCTGTGCTTCTCTTAGACTCATCTGCCTGCCTCTCCCCGTTGGTTGCTGGGTTACCAACCTCAGGGTGGGAGGAGCCAATCCAGCTAATCCTCAGAATTTTTAGCCAGCTCAGTCAGAGGGCAGAGAGGCCCAGATGCCTGGGTGTGTCCCCAGGTGGTACCACCTACACCTGGGAGAGGCTGAGGAGCCAGCCATTTTCTGTTGATATGTAAATCCATTGCCTGGGAGCTGCCTCAAAGGAGGAAAGTGCTGGGCAGGAAACTGAGCATGGCTAACAGAGATATGTGTGCATGTTTCCTGTTGGCATGACTGTCTGGTGGGGTCTCTTTAAATACACCCCAAGTGAGGGACAGCCCTGCCTAACCACTGCCAGCTGCAGGCGCACAGCGACTGCTTGTTCTCCCTGCAGCTGGCCTTGAAACTGTGCCCAGAATAGAGCAGCTTAGTCTGCCTGCCTCTGCGGCCTGCCCTCCTGGCTCCCAGCTCCAGCCCAGCCTTGCTGATGGTCCCCTCTGGGTCCAAGACACAATGGCTCTTCCTCAAGCTCACAGCAGGCTGGTGGCCTGGTTGCTAAAGATGCTGGAGGCCTCTGGAGGGGGTTGGTTGTTCACACTGTGTGTCTTTCGTCTGCTGGGGGCTTTAAGGAGCACTTCCTGTTTTCCTTATCCCCCCATAATGAGTCTTTTTAGTATTTATTCATGAGCTTAAGGGGGTAGGGGGTAGGGGGATTATGTGACAGGTGGCTCCTGACACCCCGCAGGATTGGGGCAGGTGCCATTTTTGCATCCAGAGAGCAGTGGGTGGGGAGTCTTGTGCCTTGTGATCCAGAGGGAGACAGAGCGACAGAAAGGGGTGAGGCATATGAAGTGCCAGGTGGTAGGAGGCTGCTGATCACCACAGGTAGATGCTAGAGCATCAGGGGCCTCAGCAAGAGAAGAGAAGCTTTGTTAGCTGACCTTCTACATGTGACCAGCACACTCGTCATTTCAAGGCCAAGAATTTCTTCTCCCAAGAGTAACCCCAGACAGATATTTATACGACACATCACCACTTTTAAAACCCTACTGCAGCCTTTATTCCATAGTCACACAACAACCCCGTGAGCTAAGCAGGCCAGCTCCCGTTTCACAGAAAAGTAAGCTGAGGCACGGAGGTTTAGAAGGGTGAACAGAAGGGAGAGAAAAATGAAAAGGTAAGAGGGAAAAGGCACATGCTTTGACTGCCTACCATAATGTGTCCTCGGGTGACACTATAACCCCGTGAGGCAAGTACTATTCCATTTTTTAAATGAAGAAACTGAGGCTCAGATACATTAAGTAACTTGACTAAGATTCCATTGCCAGAAACTGGTAAGAGAGAAGATTCTAGGTCTCCTGGAATGAGTTTAGCTTAGAAGCCAATTAATAGAGATTTACCTAACAAGTGCTGGGAACCCAGTGAATTCTTCAGCACAGATGCACTGTTTCTTCCTCCTTTATTGAATGTGGGACCATTTGGTTCCCTCTCAGCTGGGCGGATCTGCTGAGAAATGCTTTTAAAGAACAGACACCCAGTCCGCCTGCTCATTTGAGGAAGGAATGGGTTCAGGCGGGGCAGTAGGTGAGAGTCACAGAGGAAAGCCACCTTGAGGTTTACAAAGAGTTCTCCCACACAGCCTCTCGTTTTATTGTGATCCACAGACCATGCAGGGCAAATACTAATGTTTTCACTTTATGGGTGAGGAAACTAAGGCTGAGAGGTTCAGCAACTTGAGAAAGGGCAAAAGGGTAAATGGTTCAGGCGAACAGATAGTAAAGTCTATTTCATTTCTGTGTGTGTGTGTGTGTGTGTGTGTGTGTGTGTGTGTGTGTGTGTGTGGCGCTGGTAAAAATTTAGATGGTAAAACTTAATGCTAAAAATGAGATTATACAAGGAAGATCTCCATTAAAAGGCTCTCACATAGGATACAGCCTGTTTGTCTGAGGCTAGTGGCTTGTTGAGAAGGACTAGGAGACTTAGCCCCTTCTCTGAAATTAAGCTTACAGCTCAGCTGACAGAACACACAAGAATTCATATAGTGCTCACTTAACCTGGGCTGAGGAAACTGGATCCAGGGGTCCTGGGGAGTCCTGTGAGCCAAATCACTGTGGACACGGTTTTGAATGCTCTGCAACTCAGACGGGGAGAAGGTGACTTCTAGATCTATTGCTAACCTGAAGACCCTCAGCCAGGGCTGGCACAGTGAAAGGGGCCTCGCTCAGACACACCAGACCTGGGGGTTAGTCCTATTCTGCAATTAGGTTAAGTAACTTGCTGAACCGTGCATCGAGGCCTGAGTATTCTCATCTATAAAACGGGGGGAAGGGGCTTAGCCTACTTCCCAAGGCTATTTATTTACAGTTTTCAGGTTTGTATTGTTTTGTTTTTAATGGGAATGGTACTAAGCACCTCATAGAATCTGCAAAGCAGCTTTGTTTGGTCTCAAGTTTTATATTTTCTAGGATATAAACTGCTCTGGCCTGTAGTGGAATCTTCTATTGAGTTCGTCTTTGTTCATTGGGTTGTGGGAAGGTGCATTTAAGCCGGTTATTGCGACCTTTGCATATGTTATATGGATTTAAGTTGGAGCTAAGAGTGGATCCCATACAGATGCAAAACCTCTCCCAAGTCACAGGGCTAGCACTGGGCAGAGGTAAATAGAAACATTGAAACTGGTATGCATAGTAAATGCATAGGAAGCAGAATCATTAAGAGGCAAAGAAAGAAAAGAAAGCTTTCAAAAAATCCCAAACTAAATTACACTTGTTAAATCAGATTATACTAGAGATCCAAATCCCAAAATAGAAGATTTAGTGCCACCATTACAATCCGTCTTAACACACAGCCTATGAGTGTCAGTCAGGTCAGGCTTCAAATACAGATTTGCCCCAAACCAGGGAATTTTCAGCACAATACTGGTTACTTCAGCCTAGAGCAGAGACACTCAGCCAGGTATGGGGCATGTCTGATTGGCTTTTATTCTCATACTTTTATTTATTTTAACATTTCAGATAACATTAAAAGCAGGCATGAGATTTTTACAATTATCAAAAAGAGGGCGTTAAAAAAAATTGCTCACCCTAAATGCTTCCTTCACCGGAATACAGAGGAAGGCTTGTGAAAGCTATTGCTGTTCTTGGAAAATGGGTGCTCAGTAAATTGTGGTTGGCTCTCATTAAAAAGCCAGTATGTCACCCATATGACTCTCAGCATCCCTGGTCTAAGGCAGCCTCTCAGGGTCCCTCAGAGTCTCTGACTTGTCTTCACTTCCGAAGCCACCCTTGATGTTCATTCTAACCTGATTTCACCTGAAAAAACGGGGTGGGGGGGGAGTGAAGGAGGGG